TGACTTACCGCTGCTGATGTTAACATTGATCACCTGGCTGAGGAAATCTTTGTGAGATTTCTCTACTGTAAAGTTGCCTTTTATCCCTTCCTTCCTTTGGAAGGGAGTCAGTGTGCACAGCCACACTTCGGAGGAAGAGTTATTCTCTACCTCTTCAAGGTGGGAGCACCTACATAAATAATTTGGAGTGCTCTGCATGACTGTTATCTATCACCTCTTATTAATATTATTCAATCATTTATTCATATGAGTACAAGCCATGAATATTTATTTTATACTTTGGATTGTAATCCAATACTGTATTATCTATCTTTAATTAATTAACTTCTGGCTCAAATTGTTCCAATTTGGCCATTAGGAGCTATTTCAGTGGGCTTTTTGATTACTTCTTTACTTTATGGCATTGAAAGATGCTCCTGTATAATCTTATATATTTCCCACCCCATTTCTAGAATCAATCATTTCTCCTTTATTCCTAATAAAAGGGCCTTCAGGGTTCTCCAGAGAAACATAATCAATAGAAGATATCTATATATTATAAGAAATTGGTTCATGTGAGCTTTAGAGGTTGGCAAGCCTAGTATCTGCAGAACTGATGTCCCAGTTCAAATTCTAAGTCTCATAGGTTGTAACAGAACCAGGAAGTGCCAGTGTCTTAGTAGGAAAAGAATTTGGCAAGAAAATTCTCTCTTACTTCGTGAAGGACCAGCTTTTTGTGCAATTTAGGCCTTTAACTAATTGGGTGAGGCCCACCTACATTATGGTAGGCAATCTACTTTACTCAGTCTATCAATTTAGATGTCTATTTCCTCTGAATACATCCTCACAGAAACTCCTAGAATAATTTTTGACCAAATATCTTGGCATCTTATAACCCAGTCAAGATGATACATAAAATTAACCACCACACTAACACTGGGCAATTGTTTTAGAAGCCAAAACCTGGGTGCTCGATGGGCTCAGAGCCATTGGAGTGACTTTGTTTCTAGGCACTATTAGGTGACAGAGAAAAAAAATATGTGTATATTCTAGCCCCTGTATATGTACTTATCTATAAATATTACTGTATATAATTGTTGTGTCTATATTGAACTAAACATAACTTCATGCTGATGTCACCAACTCTAATTCATTACCATAAGGATCATTTTAGCTTTCTCCTTTGCTTATCTGTAACCTCAAACACCAACAGTGATAAACGTTGCTCCAACCATCCTCCACTCATTTACTTAATTTTTCAATCCCAGTATATACGTATAGTGGTGTCAGAATTATTAAGCCTTATCCCCAATGGAAATGACCTTATCAACTAGAGCACAGTGTTTATGTACAGTTCCTTTGCACCTTTATTCTTGCAGATTTCACACATTTCCAAAATTACTTAGGTCAGGCTTTCTTCTCCCCACCCCTTAAAGTGAGGTTGTTTCACACATTTGAATCATAAGATTCTTTTTCTCATGTTCTACATTTCATCCTGGGATTTCTTAACCTCGTAGGTTATTTTTTAAAATTTCTAACACTGTGGTTCACTGTGTGCTACAAAATTCTGTATGTTTTTACAAATGCATAGTGTTGTGAATTCACCATTATAGTATCATACAGAAGAGAATTATCACCCCCCTTCAAAAAAATCCCCCTGTGCTTCACCTACTTAACATTGCAAAGGTCTTTTGCCTTTTCATATAAACTTTAGAATCAGCTTGAATCTTTAGAATTTACAAAAGAGATTGCTGGAATTTCAATTGAGATTGTGTTGAATCTGCACACTAAGTTGAGAAGAACTGATATTTTAATGATATTGAGTCTTCTAATCCATGGATAGGGAATGTCTCTTCATATGTTTACACATTTGATTTCCTTTGTTGGTATTATAATTTTCCACGTATAGATTCTCTACATATTCTGTTATGTGTCTATATATTTAAATAGTATAAAAGTATTTAATATTTTTTAAAGAATTGAAAATTTCAATTTTCAGTTCCTCGTTGCTGATTTAGTAATAAATTTATTTTGTTCTGTTACTTTGCAATACAGTAGTCCCCCTCCCTTATCCATGGTTTCACTTTTCACGGTTACAGTTATCCACGGTGAGCCATGGTCCAAAGCTATTAAATGAAAAATTCCAGAAATAAACAATTCATAAGTTTTAAATTGCATTCCGTTCTGAGTAGGCTGATGAAATATCATGCTGTTCCCCTCTGTCCCCCCGGCACATGAATCATCCCTTTGTTCAGTGAATCTACACTGTATACACTAGTGGCCCATCACTTAGTAGCTGTCTCAATTATTAGATCAACTGTCACAATATCACAGTGTTTGTGCTCAAGTAACACTCATTTTACTTATAATGGCCCCCAAACCCAAGACTGGCAATTCAGATATGCCAAAGAGAAGCCATAAAGTACTTCCTTTACGTGAAGAGACATATATGCATAGGAATAAAACATAGTATATATAAGGTTTGGTACCATATCCATGGTTTCAGACATCCACTGAAGGTCTTAGAATGTATCCTTGTGGATAAAGGGGGTCTACTACATTGGCTTATTAGTTCCAGGCAGTTTTTGACAATGTCTTCCAGGATTTCTACAGAGGCTATCATGTCATCTGAGAATAAAAACAGTTTTATTTCTTTTTTTCTAGTCTGTATAACATTTCTTCCTGTCTCTCATATTATTGCACTAGTTAGAACTTCCAGTACAACGATGAATAAAAGTGGAGAGAGAACTCATACTTGCCTTGTTCTCGATCTCGGAAGGAAAGGATTCAGTCTTCACTAGAAAGTGTGATATTAGCTATAGGAATTTTTATATGTTCTTTATTAAGATAAGGAAGTTGCCCTCTTTGCCTTGTTTGCTGAGATTTTAAAAAATAGTTAATGATGTTGGAGTTTGTCTTATACCTTTCCTGCATTTATTAATACAGTCAGATGATTTTTCTTCTTTTGCTTGTTGCTATGGTGGGTTGCACTGGTTGATTTTGAATGTTGAACCAGCCTTGCATATCTGAAATAAACCTCACTTGGTTGTGGCGTATACTTCTTTTTTATACATTGTAGAATTCAATTGATAATATTGGGCATTTTCATGTCTACGTTCATAAGAGGTATTGGATTGCAGTTTTCCTTTCTTGAAATATCTTTATCTAGTTTTGGTATTAAAGTAATGCTGGCCGCATAGAATGGGTTATAACATGCTCCTTCTACTTCTGTTTCCTAGAAGAGGTTGTCAAAAATTGGTGCCATTTTCTTTTTAGATTTTGGTAGAATTAACCAATGAAGATACCTGGGCCTGCTGCTTTCTTTTTTGGAAGGTTATATTATTTATACAATTCCTTGAATAGAGATAGGACTATTCTGATGATCTATTTCTCCTTGTGCAAGTTTTGGTAGTTTTGTATCTTTCAAATATTTGGCCCACTTTATATGTTATCAAATTTGTCACATAGAGTTGTTTGTAATTTTCCTTTAATGTAGTTTTAATGTCCATACACCATAAGATTTAAATTTATACATATACTGTTTTTAAGCCTCCTTCATGTGTATTTCAATATGTTAGATAATTTTCCTTGTTAGTTATTTTACTTTCCATTATTCCTCATGGGTACATAATAAAAAGTGTGGTGACTGGGCTTAGACTTCGGAAGCCAGTCATCACACATCTGCAATTGGGGAAATTCTGGGCAGAAGGTGAAGAGATGCCAAAGGGAGAGGCTCCCCATGTTGCTGGAAGAATAGTTAGAAGTGAACACAGCAAGATTCTGATACAGCAAGATCCAGAAACCTCCTCTATAAATTAGCTAAGCCAAGAAAATTTCTCTCATGATGTGAGAACCTGGGGATTAGGGACATGGGAGAAATGAACTGGAAACAGTGACTGGTCCTCAAGAAGCAAAAGTTGACAGACCACTGTTGCACGATATCTGAGTTTTCCATGACCCATTCATAGAAGCCCAAGCAGGCCAGGGCATACCTGAGCGGATGTGGGGCCATCTGGAGCAACAAGGACTCGATTTCTTTGAGCCTGTGTGACTGGTTTACAGTATAAGCAGGTGGGAATTATCATTCTTATTTTGCCTTCACACTTCAAGAAATCAGCATGAGTTGCATGCCTGAACCTTCATTTGACCAGCTCTACTGTTTACCTTTTTTCCAATTGTGAAGATTATTGAGATTCACATCTATGATGTACAACTTCCTGCATTTGAACTATTTCCTCAGGATACATCTCCAGGTGTGTAATACCAGTTCAGGAGTGTGCACGTTTTAATTGCTCTTAGAATACATGTTATCAGGCAAATTTATTGGTCATGAAGGCAATCATAAGTGTAAATTAAATATCTTATTCTATTGTGAATGCTCTTTTGCTCTAACTGGACAGTAACATGTTTCTCTGTGAATATGGGTGACTACTGGGGCAGAAGGAGGTAGAGTCTTAGACACCAAGCCAGAGAGGCTAAGCAGCTAGAACCTGTAATAAGCAGTAAAAACAGACTTCACAATGACGATGGACCATATCCCTAGCACTCCATGTACCAAACATTTAGATGGGATTTGATCTGGGAGGAATTCTGAATGTGAGGATGCCAAACCGCTGTTTATTGAAGCTCTCTAGAGAATGGGAGTGAAGCACATGGGGATTGCGAATTTGAAAAGGAACTTGTCAGATGAAACAGCTCAAAAAACATTGGTGACAAATCAAGGGAATAAGAAACATGCATAATAATAAACATCTGCTTTATTTAGCAATACAAGTGAGCAAAGACCAGAGGAAACACAGCAGGGATACAGAATGTACATTATAGAAATAGTCACTTGTGCTTTCATGACCATTGCAAGGAAGGAACCCACACTTGGAAGATGGGGAATTACTGGGTCAGTGGAAAGCAGGGGGAAGTTGTTCTGTTGTAGGATCGAATACAACCAGTGACCACCTTCTGATGGTGAGCAATGGAAGCTCAGAAGGAGCAAGTATGGGCAGAGAAGAGAGGGCACTCAGCAACCTCAGTTCTAATTCAAGAACTACGAGTAGGTAGCAGGAGAGAAGAAGAAACTTGAAGAGAAAGCTAAGGATCTGGAAAGGTGGCCTGAGACAATGTGGGACCAAGAGCCTACGGGAGGACTTCAGTAGCCCCTCCTGCTGGACGTGGTGGTGGTGTACTTGATGGAGGAACTGCTGCCTCCAACAGAGCTGAGACCACCTCCAAATCCTCTGCCACTGCCCGAACTGAAGCCACCTCCAAGGTTGTGACCACTGCCATAGGAGTAGCCGCTGCCTCCGCCCAGGCCGAAACCACTGCTGACACCACCAGCACTGCCATAACCACCAGAGACAGTGGACTGCACCACAGCTGTTGAGGAGAGGGGCACAAGGACACACACACATGGTGAGCTCATTCTGCCAGCCTCGATCAAGTCAGAAGAATCAAGGGCAAGGGAGGGAGGCAAGCAAAGATACTTACAGATGTTGACTGGTCCAACGCCTTCTCCACTCAGCCTAGGAGGAAGGAAACACAGGGACCTCAGAGAACCACTCCTGGACCAGTGTGGAAAGCTTCCATGTGAGGACAATCCATGGGGGAACTGCCTTCACAATGGTTCTCTGACAGTAGCGATTATGGCCATCACCACTTTAAACTTGGGCTTTAAACTTGTTCTCACTGGCTGCACATGATGGAGAAGCACCCAGGTGATTGAGGAGGTTGAGTTACCCACCTGCACTCCTCGCCTTCCAGCAGTTTCCTGTAGGTGGCGATCTCCACATCCAGGGCCAGCTTGACATTCATCAGCTCCTGGTACTCCTTCAGGAGCCGGGCCATGTCCTGCTTGGCCTTCTGCAGGGCATCTTCCAGCTCAACCAGCTTGCTCCTGGCATCCTTGATGGCCAGCTCCCCACGCTGCTCAGCCTCAGCAATGGAGGCCTGCAGGTTGGCGCACTAGAGAAGGAGGTAAGCAGAATGGACTTGCAATCTAGTCCTCCAGAGGAGACTAACCATGCTTCCTCCTTCCCAGTGAGATAGAGATCCAGAGCCCAGATGGCATGGAAATGGAGCACAGAACCTTTCTGCCCAGTCTTGGCCCATTCTGCAAACCTTATCTAGTCTATGAGTCACTTGAGAAAACGTGCGCCCCTTCGTGTTAACCACCCTGTATGAGGATCTGGGGCTGACTGGGGGGAAGCACTATAACAGACATAGACCATGGGCAGTGGAAGAAATGGGCCCACTAGTTTGTTTTGAATCTTGATAGCTTTTGAGAATCTCATGTGGTAGCCACACTAACTTGTGCAAAATTACAAACATACTCAATGAGGAGATGAGTTTCTTCCCCCTCACATTTTTAGGTTACACTCGTCTTGTCCTGTGTCTTTGCTGGACTGTCTTTTATTTTCCACCTTGAATCTTGAGCAGATTTGCACCAATCTTCCTCACTTTCTGGCCTGCCTTTTCTTTCCCGTTTCCTGCATTCCCAAATCAACTGTCCTCATGTAATCTCTGCTCAATGTCTCTAGACTATATTTTTACAGCTCTAGACTATATTTTGACAGGGTTTATATCATGCTCTTGGGTTGGGATCCATCTGTGCCACCTGTGGGAACTCACTTAGGGTAGAAACGGCATGGTGTCCTCTTCCTGCTGTCCCCCAATTCCCAGGAATTTCACAAATGATGGTTGATGACCATGTAGTGGTCTAGCAAGGAATCAATGCTTTAATTTTCCTTAGTGCCCACCATACCTGTTTCTTGACATGGTCGATCTCAGATCTCAGCCTCTGGATCATGCGGTTGATCTCAGCAATCTCCTGCTTGGTGTTGCGCAGGTCGTCCCCGTGTCTGCCAGCTGTGACCTGCAGCTCCTCATACTGTAGCAAAGAGGGAGAGGAGGCGATGTGTATGGATTTTCACATGTTAACAGTGACTGTCACACTGAGCCAGGCTTTTAATAAATCAAACCCAATGGCTTCTCCAGAAGTGATTTTAGGAAATGCTGATGTTGCTAGGTCATTGGCTACTATACACTAATCTCAGCCCAACCTTGTTGTGAAACCACTGCCTTTCTAGCTCTCTTCAGAGCCAACAATGTCCGGCATCAGGGCGAAGCTAAAGCAAAGATCACCTGGTCTACATTAGCTTTCCTCCTGCTTGGGTTTCTTTGACTTACCAGGATTGCACATAAATTCTGTAAATATCTACTCTATCAGTACAGGGCACACATTCTGTGAGGACACCAGCTTCCTAGAAGTGCATTTTCCCAGTGAAGTCTGGTAGCCTTGCTGGTGTTTAGGGAGCAAGCAGAAGAACTTCTCAGCAGCTGCCCATTCGCTACTCACCTTGGTCTGGTACCAGGACTCAGCCTCAGTCCTGCTCCTCTGAGCAATCTCCTCATATTGGGCTTTGACTTCAGCGATGATGCTGTCCAGGTCGAGGTTACGGTTGTTGTCCATGGAGAGGACCACAGACGTGTCTGAGATGTGGGTTTGCATCTGAGCCAGTTCCTGCAGAACATAAGATAGTCAGATCGTTTTCTCTTTTGACATTCACAGGTTTCCCAACCCCGAGTTCTCCCACCCTTTTGCAGAGCCCCATTAGAGTAAATAAAAGGAAGGGGGAGATGCTTACTGCGTCATAGAAGGCCCTGGTGAAGTTGATCTCATCCATGAGAGCATCTACCTTGGCTTGAAGTTCAACCTTATTCATGTAGGCAGCATCCACATCCTGGGGAATAAGCCAACGGCAGGGAGTCAGCTGAGCCCTCCTTCCCCATCTGCCCATCTCTCAGCCTCCCCACTTCTTCTCCTCTCAGATGTGAGGAGGACCCCAGAGTTTTCTCCTTCTGCAAGAAACATGAGCCCCTGCTTCTGATCAGCTCACCTTCTTCAGAGTGACAAATTCATTCTCCGCAGCAGTGCGCTTGTTGATTTCATCTTCATACCTAGGAGGGGAAGTGTGGGAGTCAGTGGTGAAGGTGACACAGAGAAGGCAGCCCAGGGTCAGAACTTTCCATACCAAACATGTCCAAGTTCAGCTTTCCTGCCAGTAAACCTCAAAGATGACTTTTGTGGTCCCTAAATTGTTTCCCTTTTTACTCTCCCTACCCACCTATATAGCCCTTTTGTTCTCTCAGGTTGGATTTTAAGCATCATTTGTGATTTTTATTTTCATGGGCATGTTTTGCTACAGAATCATGACCACATCTGGACCAGGTCTTGAAGTGAGCGGTTCTGGCAATTGATCCCATTTCTCTCCTTAACTCACTTGCTCTTGAAGTCCTCCACCATGTCATGCATGCCCCGGAGCTCTGAGTCCAGGCGGCCTCTGTCCCCAACGATACTGTCCAGCTGTCTCCTGAGGTTGTTGATGTACTGCTCGAACAGAGGCTCCAGGTTCTGCCTCACGGTCTTGGTGCCCTGCTCCTGCAGCAGGGTCCACTTGGTGTCCAGGACCTTGTTCTGCTGCTCCAGGAAGCGCACCTAGAAGAACACAAGTTGGTTATTTACTTGATGAAGGACAGAAGAAAGATATTTGATGTGTTGGGTCTCCAGGTACACCTGGGCGGTCTCCATGGTGCTGGGCTACTACAGAGCATGTACAGAAGTTCATGCTGACAACCTGCTTTTCTTCACACTTTACAAACCTCACCAGTGAGAACTTCCCATGGGTGAGGAGGTGCTCACACCCTTTAAGTTATGGAGCCTTATCAGTGAGTTTCAACATTTCTTTTCTTTCTCTTCAGGAGTGAAATCACAATTCTAATTTAAAATCGTATTTTCATCATATATTTCACAAACTTTGTTTTAAAGATAGTACCTCAGTTAAAGGAATAGCAAAGTTTTAGAATCTGATTATTAAATTCAAATCTTATTATGATTAGATCCCAATCTAATTTTCATTTGATATACAAGTCTTGTCTACAACAATCTCCCTCAGTGGTCACTACCTGATTCTACAAATTTAGTATTTCAATGAATAAGTAAGTGTCTCTGAGTCTTTTTTTCCAATCCATGAAGAAATGGTTTTCATTTTTCTGTCACTCTTTTTTCTCTTCCCCAGAGCCTTAGAGCAGTTTTCACTGGAATTTTATTTTTCATAAATAAAAATTAGATTCTTCAGAGGGTAAAGCTAACTCATTCCACTTTCCCATTGCTTTTTCTTTTTTCCATGGTTATCAAAAGTCGAGAATTCTTTCTAGACAGGAATGAGAGACATTAAAGAGATTTGGCAGTTTTAAATGTTTTCCATTTCCTTCTGCCTGTGGTCAACATGGAGCTAATCTGGCATCCCAGGGGGGCGCCAGTCCCCCTTTCCCTCTCCCCTCTTCTTCCCCTCCTAGGACATTTGTTGGTCCTCAAGTGTGGGGACTGGGAATCCCCACTGGAGGACAGGTCTTTGGGACTCACCTTGTCGATGAAGGAGGCGAACTTGTTGTTGAGGGTCTTGATCTGCTCCCGCTCCTCAGTCCTCACCCGCTGGATGGTGGGGTCGATTTGCAGGTTCAGAGGAGTGAGGAGATTCTGGTTGATCGTGACCTCTTGGATGCCTCCAGGGGGGCACACAGGGAAGCCAGCGCCCCCATAGCCACCTCCAAAGCCAGCTCCAGCACCCAGCCCAAAGCCAGCACCAGCTGCACGTTCAAAATTAATTAGACGGCCTCCAAAGTCAAAGCCACCTCCAACTCTGCCACCAATGCCGCCTCCGAAAGAAATTCTCTTGGAGCCCCCCAGGCCATAGAGGCTCCTGCTGCCAAAGCCAGCTCCTCCACACACTCCACCGAGGCCTCCACTGCCCCTGGAGCGGGACACAGAGACACTGCTGAAGCCAGAGCGGCCGGCCCCAGGGACTTTGGCCGAGCTGGCACTGAAGCCACGGCGGCTGCTGCTTTGGATCCTCACGGTGGATTTGCTCGACATGGTTCCTAAAGATGAGAAGGCTGAAGAAGGTGCGAGAGACTGGAGGATAGAGCTGAGAGGAGCAGATGTGTGTGATGAGTTTCCCCGCAGCAGTTTATATATAGTGAGAATGGGCTGGGCTCAGTCCTAGAAGGTGAGCTTGCAGATTGGGAAGGGTTGGGCTTTACAAGCAGTGAGGTCACCCCCAGCACCTAGAAAGGTAAGAAATATGAAGATGGCATATTTGGCTTGCTTTACTCATGGAGAAATTCTCCTGCCCTCCAGCCTTGTCTTGATCCCCACAGAATAAGGCTGAATGTGAATTCACTAAAGTCATGAGTTAGTCATGCTCTCAAACAAAGGAGACAAGTCACTGATCTGTCGTGATTGTCTCTTCCTTCTGCTTACTCATAGTCTCCTCTATGTGTCCCCTTCCCACACAGGTTTTCTCCTCCACCAGCACCACCCTTCCCATCAGGGTGGGACTGTCTCCAAGGGCTTATAGGCATTTGCTCAATGCCCTGAGCAAGAAATGGCCTGCAGTGTTTTTTCCACCGAGTTTGAACCTGCCCTTCAGAAACTCCTGCATGTTGTGCCTGGTGGCCTGGTATGGGAATAAGGGCTACTTTGGGGTTAAAACCTTCCTTTGAAAGGCAAGAAGTTCAAAAGGGTTGAATTTTTATAGTACAAGAAGAGCAGATACTCTCTGTCCTGTCCAATAAGCTGCCCAATTGGTAGTTTCCTGAGAGGACAGGAGCCATCACCCAAGGCCACTCTGCCGAGGGACCTGATTTCTGAATGGAGTTTCTGAATGGAAACTCCATGCCTGTACCTCCCTCCCTAAAGTGTGCTTTTCCACTGAGCTGTGACCATGTCAACTTGTTTTTCCAATTGGAATTCACAGACACCATTTCTCTGCTGTTTGGGAATGTTCACTTAGTGCTTAACTTAATGAGTCTAAAGTGAGTAAGACAAAAACATTCATAAATTCACTAAATTTTGATTGCCACTGATTTTAATATTTCTTAGGACTCAAGAATCAGACATCTTAATGCTTATATAGAGAAAGTTGAGGGGCATATAGAAGCAATGAATCATAAAAATGTGCCCTTACATGTGTGATGATTTCACAGGTAAATTCCAAGAGCATATTTCTAATCTTAGTGCTGAAATCTTAAATCTTTACACATCTTCTTAGAGGAGGGAAGGCTGTCAAATGAGTGTCGTGTTTGGTTCAGAGAAAAATGATGTTCATTTTTCCTCAGTCCAGACAGTAAGAACTGAGCACAAGGAGCACTGAAAGAAATTGTAGGCATGTTGTTCTACAAGAACATCTGGTTAACTATTAACAAACTCCTACATTGAGATGACCCGAGGAAAGCTTGTGGTACTATTTTATAAGCGGTCCCATCTCTCCAATGTTTTGGGGGACACAGCATGCAGGAGAGCAGGGCATTTCCTATCCAAAGGGGGTGCTAACTCAGCATCTGGCTGGAAAGATATACCTTTCTCAAGACAATGGAAGCAGTTGCCCTCCCTCCACCCTGGTTGCACAATGGTTGACCAAGAAATGTGCTGTCACCAAGTTCTGGGAAAGAAGTGTTCCTTCTCATGGCACTGTGTTCTGATCCACGCTACTTTTCTTGGGATAGAGGCTTTAAGCTTGGCACAGATGATGTCAGGAGAGGTAGGAAGTGTTGGCAAGTCAGGTGGGAGCAGCACGCACTTGCCCAGAGCCTTATGTCCATATCGATGTGCCTGGCTGCTTTCATGCGACGTTGGGTAGTAGTAATACAGAGTATATGACTCACAAAGCCTAAAAGATTTACTTTTATGGTCTTTCCAAGAAAAATTTGCCAACCCCTGGTTAAGTGCATGGGCTCTGGAGACATAGTGCTCAGGCTCCCATGTGTCTGTAGGCAAATTACTCATTTTTACAGATGTCAACTGGGGATGAAAATAGTACCTACATCTCAGTGTTGTGAGGATTACAGGAGATAATCAATGTAAAGGCCTTAGCAGTGCCTGCACATTAGTTCTCAATGAAGATGAGCTAATATTATTATTATAATGGAAGCATGAATACACTTGGTGTATTCGGGCACTTACCAAAAGCTTCAAGAACTAGAAAACAGGTGCAGCTTGTGTGTGTGTGTGTGGG